CGTCTATCTAGATACTGAGAATATAGACATAGTTCTAGATACTGGGAACATAGAAAGGAAGAAAACAGCCATTGCCCTAAAGAAGCTTTTGTTTTGGTGGAGGAGACTAGTGATAATGAAAAAACGAAAAGGTACCAGTTAATGTGGCATAATAATGAATGCTGTCAGAAATAAAGTGGAGTGTGGGGGTACAGATGTTGCCAGAAGGGGTGTCTTCAGGGGGTGGCCATTGGAACTGTCACCAGAGTCACATCAAATAGGTCCTGCGCAACAGGCAATGCCTTGATTAATGACTTTGGGTGCCCCTCAGGTATCTTGGAATCTCACAAGGGAAAGGACAGTGATTGGGCACCGTGCTGTAGCCGTTTGCGCGTGTGGTCTTCAGTTGCTCCGAATTTGCTCTCCGTAGCTTGTCTCCAGTACCAACAGCCTCACACCACGAGTTTTCCACTTGGTGTGTTACCCACATTGTACTTCCAGGGACTTCATGAGTTTAGAGAGGGATGGAGAGAGGAGGGCATTTCCGAACAGAGCCCAGCAATGCTCCAGAATGTTACCAGGCTGCCTCCTGCATGCTGACGTTCTGGAAAATTCTTCCTATGCCCCAGATCCTAGTTTGGAGCCTCGTGCCATCTGAGAGGTTTGCAACATTTCCTGAACCATAGAGAGGGAAGGGAAATGGGCTCCTAGATCCAAAACCTTCAGACTGAAGTGTTTGCCAAGTGCTTTGCAATCTGCCTTTCCATAATCCCCCCCCCATTATCTCTGTGATGGGGTTTATCATGCCGGCACTGCACTTTACTGAATAAATGGAGGGACAGATGGAGATGGCAGAGTTGGAGGAGAACGAGAGAGGATCTGGAGCTGGAGCTCTTCACAGGGATGGCCCGCCTGTGGGCTTCCTGTGGGGACAAGCACGTGACAGGCCCCCAAGTACTGGCTTTCAGTAAAAGCTGTGGCGTGAATAAAATATGCAAGGGGAAGGTGAGCTGCTGCTTATTTGCAAAGTTTTGAACACGATTATACATCAAATTAATTAAGAGATCCTCCTGTTGAAGGAGAATACTGTTTCCCATCCTTTAGCCTGGGGAATTTTCTCGATCTGGATTTCTTAAGGAATCTCCAAGGTATGATATTCCAAAATGGTCAGTAGATGAAGAAAGCACGAGGGCTGAGGTGGCGGCTAGATGGTGGGTTGGTACGCAGCCCCCCAGGGTTTGGGTTGCTAACAAAATCTTGGATGTTGTGGCTGACGGCTGGTGAATTTGTTCCTATGTTTGTCTGTCCACCCATCTATCCATTCCGGAACCCCCCTCTCCGCCCACCCTTTCCAGTTGGTCCTGTAGGAAGAGTTACTATGACTTAGGAGTACTGTGCTTATTCATCTCACGGGGACTCGGTTTTTGCAGTTAGAAAATGATGGGTTACGTCTAGAATATTTAAAGAATATTTAAAATATTCTGTTAATATCAGAATCCCGAGGTGGTTATATTTGATGATGTACTAGACATTGGAGAGGATATAAATATGAGTTAAACACACGTCCTCCCTCCAAAGAGCACACATTCTGGTGGGTGTGGTGATGACAGAGGGAGAGCCCTGGTGCATGTAGTGGGTGACCAGGGAGCCGACACTGCTGCAGGGAGACTGGGAGGGCAATTCAGAGAAGGGCAAGATGTCTTTTGGGTGTGGGTGTTAAGGGAGCCTGGCTGGAGTCAGGGTAAGGGGAGCTGACCTTTATGTGAGTGCGGGGAAGTGACACATTAAGTTGAAAAGCATCAGTTCATTTCCATCCTGCCTTGTAGTTCACTGTGTTTCTAACAGCGAGCCGGGCTTTCATATCCCCATTGAGCAGATGGGGAAAGCGAGGCGGAGAATAGGATTAAGTAACTTGCCCAAAGCTACTAGGCAGGCTGTTGAGGGACAGAGACGGGATTCAGGAGAAGGTCTGTCCACCTCTTTCCAATCTGCCCTAAAGGCTGGGTCAGGAGGGAGAGGAGGCCAGCAGGGCATTTCAGGAGAATGAAAGACCTGCTGTGTGGGCATCTGTGAGGAACGTCCGGGACCTGCAGCCGCCTGGAGCACCACGGGCCCAATGGTCGCTGTAGGAACCAGGCGTGGGAAGCTGCTTGGACTTCCTGATGTCTGGCTACAGGATCTGGTTTTCATTCGGCCCCCATGGAGATTGGGTGCAGGGACACAACTTGATCAGAAGAGCGCATTTTAGGATGTTTATGACTCTAAGACCTTCTCATGATTCTAAAACACTTGCATGCAACTAAGCTCTTCAGTGCGGTGTCCAGAAACACCCTCCCCTAGTGTCTCCAACAGTCTGGTCCTTGAGATGTTTTGTCCCAGGGCTTTTTGTCCTCAGGCACAGCCGGCCTTCTCTCCACCGTCAGCACTTTTAAAAATCCTTTCTCCATGCTTGGGATTTTGAGAAGAAAATTCCTTAATCTCCAAGCCTCCCCCCCCACCCCCCAACCCCCCGTGCTATTCCCGCGGTTTTAACCTATTTCCTGCTCTTTCAAAACTTCTTCTATTAATAAATGAATAATTAGATGTGCTTTGGCTTTGCTAGTGAAAAATACACCATAATATTTAGATTAAAACAGCCTATAACGGCACTAGAAAAATACATCCCGGTTACATGATGAGTTCCTCCTTTTCCTTTTTATTCACAGCATCCTGGGGTGGCCTACTGGAGAAAAAATACTATTTGATTCTCCCTGGGTGGTCGGACAGGACTTGTAAAGACTCCTGTTTGTTTTGTGTTGAGGCTTCAAAGGCGCACAGGCTTTCCCTACATAAAGATGTACTAAGAAAATGGGGATTTTTTTGAAGTTGCTATGTATAAAGGGAAATCCAGAGCAACCATCTTCCTTTAGAACTACAAGCTAATGTGATTAGAGGGTCCCTTTTTACCCCAGATCTTTGTTGTTTCTGTGTCTGGTCGATACCGCCTGTCTTGGAGGTAGGGTGGGGGTGGGGGGGAGATCTGTGCTCTTGAAAACCATTTCCACCTGTGTGTGCATGTTTTACGCCGGCCAACTCATACTTTAATTTTTAAACCCACATTTATTGTGCACATAATTTTTTTTTCAAGCGAGGGAATCAGAGTGGGGTGTGTGTGTGCGTGCGTGCACGCGCGCGTGTCATGAAGGGCGCTCTGTGGGTGTGTGCTAAGGAAGCATATCCTGGGCCACGTGTTCTGCACATTCCAATTAGTAAGGCCCTCCTGCTGTGGTGTGGGAGAAAAGTTTGGATTGGGGTCAGGGCTGGCTAAATGTAGGCTCCTTTTTCATGCAGTTTTTGCAGAACTCCCTCATTAGCACCTTGAGGTCAGTGGGAGCTGGGGTACGCTGGTGTTGTGAGCACCGTTGGTATTTTCTGCTGTGTGTCGCGTGTGTCAGCCATTTTAAATAAAATCCTTATTTTCTCCATTTCATAAAATTAATTGTACTTAATGGGGGAGGTTGATAGTGCTGAATTATTTTAAGCCTGGAGGGAGCAGAGCAGCTGTGTCCTACATCAGACCACTGATCTATCTAATAGGTTGTCTTGCCACCTGATTCTATGGACGAATGTGGGTAGCCAATTATGTGCATCCCTGTGTGGAGTGAAAAATGACCTTGAGCCCCAGAGAGGGAGACCATTGCTCTATGCAGCGCGTGTTCACCCACTGGAGCTGTTTTGTTGCTTTGGCCAAAGAGGAAACGTGGTGTATTTCTAATCTCTAGAATTTTATTTTCTTAAAAAAAAAAAAAAAAAGAAAAAGGAAAAAAGGAGCCGCTATGTGAAATAGTTAGATCTTTCATGACTTGCCAGTAACTTTGCTTGCGGAACCAGATGCTTAGAAAATAAGTAGTCTGGGGGGTGTAGTCCCTAAAAATTTTAAGGGAGGGGAAAACCTCCAAGCTTCTTCCCCTTGTTACATCCAGACATAACCTGCCCTTATAAACTGTGCTTTTTTTTTTTTTTAATGAAGACTATTAGAGAAAGGGAAGTATACATTATTTGAATAAAAAAATTAGAAACAGGGACGCCTGGGTGGCTCAGTTGGTTAAGCGACTGCCTTCGGCTCAGGTCATGATCCCAGCGTCCTGGGGGCTCCTTGCTCAGCGGGGAGCCTGCTTCTCCCTCTGCCTCTGCCTGCCACTCTGTCTGCCTGCACTCACTCTGAGAAATAAATAAATAGAATCTTTAAAAAAATATTAGGAACATCATAAGCTAATTTTTTGGAGTATTGGGCAATTATTTCTGTAATCAAATACATTTTGACAAAGAATTTTAAAAAGCAGATTTTTAAAAAAGATAAGTCTGGGCACAGAAAACAGACTTCACCCTTGATATAACCTCGCAGGTCTTTGTAAGTCCCAGAGTCAGAGTTCACCGTGGCTTTGATGTGACTCTCTGAGCAACAGGATGGCGCTCTGTAAACTGCTCCTGGCAGCGTGGGAAGAATGTCCTTCTGGGGTCAACCAGCTCCTGGGTTTGATCTATGGTTCTGCTACTGCTGGTTCTATGACCTTGGGCAAGTTCCTGTATGCTCTCAGCCAGTCTCTCTGTCCAGAGCCTTCTGTTGCTATTGAGACTTGCCTTACAGAAATGGTTTTAGAGGGAAATGAAATAGACAATGGGGTCTAGTATATATATGTATGTTAGCTTTCTCTCTTTGCTTCTGATTACATCCCAGGGCCAGTATTTTTTCAGGAGTAGTAATAATGCACTGTTAGCTTTGGTAGGCATTATGAACACCTAAAACCCTTCATTTTTCACATCATGACGTCTAGCCCCACAACAGGGGAGAGACGTGCTTGCATTGCCTTACGATAGGAGGCAAGTCCAAGGCCATTCTAATGTGTTTAATAAAGAATCAGCTTCCCAAATGTTCCTCTAGAAACCTTCAAGGTAGACCAGAATGTGTACCAAAATGTCACTCTGCTGTGTCCTTCTGTTTACTCTGATGACTTTTGACTCAGTATCCCTTTCTCTCCTAGTACTCTCAGGTGACTACGGAAGCCTTGGCACCCTGCATGCTCAGGTAAGAGACTTTTTGGGTGGGGAAGATTTCCAGATAAAAGGTCATACTGATTCCTTTTGTGGCTACGGTCTGGTTCTTTAGTCTTTCCTGGGCTGCCCTAAAGATCCTAATGGCCACCATCCCTCTGGTGGTTTTCCCTTTGCTTTTATTTTAGTTTCTTATCTATGTTAATACTTTATTATATTTTTGTTTTTATCTTTATCTACTCATCCATGCATGTTGTGACAGAAAACATGCCTGGGAATGGTAAACCCTACCAAGAGGAGAGGCTTTGGGTACAAGGCAGGTGTCAAGTTAAACTTTTTCAATGCCTAACTCTTAAAGATAAGAACTCTGTATTTTTTTAAACATAGATACAATACTGTTTTCATGCCTAAAATAATAGGTAACTGTAATTTTTTTAAAAAAGATTTTATTTATTCATTGGGTGGGGGGAGGGCCAGAGGGAGAAGGAGAAAGAATCTCAAGGTCACTGTGTTGAGCTTGGAGCCAGACTCCAGGCTTGACGTGAGGCTTGATCTCACAACCCATGAGGATTCTGACCTGAGCCACAATGAAGAGTTGGATGCTTAACCAAGACTGAGCCACCCACGTGCCCCAACAATAATTCTTTTATACGAACTGTCCAGTCTGTTCAATATTCCCATTGTGCAGATACTATAATAACAAATCTTAGGGGCGTCACGTACAACATGGTGACCATGGTCATCAACTGCTGTTAGTGTATTTGAAAGTTGTTGAGTCGATCCTAAGGGTTCTCATCACAAGGAAAAAACATTTTTTTCTTCTCTTTTCCTTTCTCCTCTTTCACTCTCTCTCTCCTTACTTAGTACCTATCTGAGATGATGGATCTTAACTAAACTTATTGTGGTGATCATTTCAAAATATGTAGAAGCCCAATCATTATGCTCTACACCTTTAATGTAAACAGTGCTGTATGTTAATTTTATCCTCATCAAACTGCAAGAAAAAAAATAAAAATAAATCTCTGGTATTTCGTATGTTTGAAGGCTCCCGTTTCCTCTGAAGCAGTGGTTCTCAAGGTGCGGTCCTGAGGTTAGAAATGCAACCTGTTAGAAATGCAAATAGTTGCATTATTAATCTGCCCCAGATGGAATCAGAGGTCTGGGGCTGGAAAGTCTGTACAGTCCTTGGCTCCACCAGCTGAACTATCAAAGGGAGCCTGGAGTGATTTTCTAGGCGATTCTAATGCATGGTGGGGTGAAGGAAGGGAAATCCTGGTCTTGGGAAAACCACCAGGGTTTTACTCTCTAGACACCCTATTTTATGTTTGTCTTTGTGTTTAACACAAAAGCACATCCAAGATGCTCAAAATACACGACATGGTGCACTTCACTGGGTCGCCGTGATATAATAAGAAATAGACATTTAGGTCTTCGTCCCTGGCTTCTGGCCAGCGCTCCTAAACCCCTTGTAATATCCTAAGACAAATAGAAGAATTATTTGTTTGTTTTGTTTTAATATCTGATTATTGTTCCCTGGTCCTGAAACAGCTCTGGGGTGGTATGTTTTGTGATTCAAAACAAGCCCCTTTCAACCACACCTGAGTTTCTGTTAATAAGGCAACCCTTGGAAAGCCTCTAATTATGGGGGCCGGTTGCCTGGGGAACCACCACGTGATTAGAGGACTGGTGCTTACAAGCTCCGCCCCCTGACCTCCAGGGAGGCGAGAAGGGGCTGGAGGTTGAGTTAAACACCTGTGGCCAATCCTTTAGTTCATTATGCCTACCCCAGGAGCAGGGGTCTGGAGACATTCTGGGTTGAACCTGTTGGAGGTGTTGGGCGCTAAGCATGGCAGGTGGCCTCCCGGTCGCCCCTCGCCCCTTGCCCCAGGCGTCTCCTCCTTCCCGCCGGCCTGGCATTGCAGCCTTCCTAATGCACTGGTGGTCTGGTGAGTACACGGCTTTCCTGAGTTCTTGTAACGGTTCTAGGAAATTGTGGAGCCCGAGAAAGGAGTTGGGGGAACCCCTGATTTCGACAGCTGGTCGGTCGGAGTTCCCCGCGGTGGCCGGGACTCGCAGGTGGCGTTTTGGGGTCGGAGCAGTCCTGCGGGCCGGAGCCCCTCGCCTGGGGGTTCTGCGCAGCGGTGGGCAGGGTCGGAACCGGATTAAGTCGCAGTTCGCCGACTGCGTGACCATCGAGATCCCGAGAATGGCTTGGTGTGGAAAAATGCGCAGGTTCGGGGTCTGGGGCGTAGATGTGAGTAGAGGGTCGTGGGAGCTTGTGCTTTCTAATGGCCAAGCTGGAGTGTAAGGCTTCCGTTGCCTTCTGGGGCCTGTACCAAACCCACTTCCGTCTCTGGCCACAGAGAGCCGCAAGCTCAGCCTGCTCCCAGGTGGGGAAGCCAGCCCCGCAGCAGCAGAGCAAAATGCCCAGGACTTCATGGTCCTCAAGGCAATGACAGGACAGACGGACTGAAAAGAGAGCTGTAATGTGTTTGAGCGTGTTTGGTAGAGAAATCAACTTTTTATTTTTCTTTCTTTTTTTTTTTTAAGATTTTATTTATTTATTATACAGAGATCACAAGTAGGCAGAGAGAGAGGAGGAAGCGGGCTCCCTGCGTTGCTCGATCCCAGAACTCTGGGATCATGACCTTGAGCCAAAGTCAGAGGCTTTAACCTACTGAGCCACCCAGGTGCCCTGAGAAATCAACTTTTTCTAAAGTGCATTTCTAAAAGCTGGGCTTCTCAGCCGCTGGTTGCACCCGGGAGGCTTTTAGAAAGACACGGTCCCCTGTGCTGACCTCAAGAGACCCAAGTTTCAAATGGATTTAGGAGCTGGTGGGGGGAAGGGAAGGGCTTGGTCCCAGGATCAGCATCAGGACTGCCTCGAGGCTCTCCAGGTGAGTCTGCTGGTGGCCGTGGTTCAGAACCAGTGATTTATTTGGTTTGGGATTGAGGTAAGAAAGAAGATGAAAATCCAAGGCAAGAGTGTCCCGTCCCCCCACCCCCAGGGTCTTACTCTTCAGATGAGGAGGTGCTTTTCCGAACAGTGGTGCTTTAAGCCATCAGTTCTCTTCACAGTGGAGGCTAACCCATTCCACAATATTCCTGGCCACTTCTAGGTACAGAGATTCGATTTCGTTTTCTTGAGACCCTGCAGGTGTTTTGAGGTTGGGGAGGGGGGGAGAATATGTGTTTCTGTAGCTTGCAAGTGCCCCCTGCCTTCTGAAACTCTGGGTTCCCTTCACGTAAGTGGAGATTGCTCCAGGAAGGGGACCCCGAGAGACTGATTTTTTGCAGTGTGGGCTGTTTTCATGTTTCTAAGGCTATCAATGAGACCAGAACCTTCCCTGCAGTCCCGAAGTTATGGAAAGGAAAGATTGAGCTGTATTTGTTGGTGGAGTGTTGAAATATTCCATGGAAAAAGGGAAACAAGTTCCACCACTGATTTTTCTTGGCAGGATTGGTCATCTTTCCCCCCAAGTTTCTGGCAAGTGTGACTAGAAATTGACTTGCAGGATTTGCTCCCACTTGCTTCCCAAGACATCTTCTGCTGGCTTGCTGCTGACTAGCAGTAGTTAATTTGCTATCTCTCACAGGTGTTATCCAAAAATCACAGAACTCAGAAATAAACAGCCTGAACTTGGTCGGTCCCGTTCAGAGGATTAGCCAGATGTAAATCTGAGTTACACTTGGGAGGTTTCCTGTGCCTCATTTAAAAATAAATAGAACTCTAGCTTTGAGTAGAAACAGATTTTTTTTTAAAATGAAATATCTTACTGGAAAACAAATTTTATTTTTCCAATAAAAAATATGGGGAGGAGGTAAGCTTTGCTTGACGCCAATGCTTATTTTATTTCATGCCCTTTCTTTCTCCCTGCTGATGGCAGATGTGGCAGAAATAAGACCCGATTTCATTTTCCAAAATGGGGAAAAAATTAATCATTCAGGAATTTATTTATTCTTAATTGACAGCAGACGTTTAAAACCTGATTGGTCACGGTCGACGGTTTAACGTGCCTTTTAGGAAAATACACATTTATGTGTATAGCTCCGACTGCTCTGTGAACCCATCACTATGTAGCAGGTTGAGGTGTTGGCCTTGGAGTTTTGATTCTTAGCCCCTCTACAAATTTTTCTCTCACCAAGAGAAAAGTGAAAGTTATTTTTCATGTGATTACAATATGAGTTACGTGATTTAAAAATGTTTACTGTTGATATGCAAATTTCCTGCCAGGAATACCAAATGTTCATATGCTACCCATTTTTAATTCTAGTAAAACCTACAATCAGAATGAAATAAAAAAAATCTTTGAAAAATCGGAAAAATGGGGGCACCCACGTGGTTCAGTGGGTTGAACATCTGCCTTTGGCTCCAGTCATGATCCCAGGGTCCTGGGATACAGCCCTGCATCGGGCTCCCTGCTGAGCAAGGAGTCTGTTTCTCCCTCTCCCTCTGCCCCCTGCTTCTGCTCTCTCACCCTTTATCTCAAATAAATAAAAACAAAATCTTAAAAAAAAAAAAAGAAATTAGAAAAATAATTCAATTTTATTAACCTTTGTGTTTACCCTCCCAGATTGTACTGAGTCAAATGAATTAGACCAATGCCAAGAGGTTGACGCTACTAAGTAGAGATAATGTTTCAGGAAGACACATGAATTGAGTTCCACATCTGCTAAACAGTTCCTATGAGTGGATTTTGATCATACAGGTTTCTAGCACTCCCCAAATTTAACAATTGTGGATCACATTACCTTTTGTTTCCTATTTATTACAAAAGAGACTGTTTGTAACTTGACAGAGTAAAACCTTCCTTCTCCTTTGTCAAAACCAGTCCAGATTTCCAACCATCCCGTCCCATCTTCCTGGCCACGAAGTCATTTTCTGTCCTTCTTCAATCCTGAGATCAAAGTTACAATGCCTATTTGTACTCTTTTCTAGGATTAAGGATGGTCTGCCCAGTTAGCTCGTGAGTGTTTTAGAAGTAGTGGAGAGTCAGATATACAGTAGACTAACTTGGCAGAAGGGCTCCTTCC